CCTTGATAAGTGGTGGCTCTTGATGTAAGTGTGCTTAAAGAAGAATGGGGTAATATACATTGATGTGAAGGTGGAGTTTTGGTTTGACATAAGTATTAGGTTTGAATGTTAAAGTATATGTATTAAAGTGCTTAGGGAGGTGTAGTCACTCTTATATCTAAATGTATCCTACCCGTCCCGTAGCCTACATTACAACCAAATAAAGTTCTAATTGATCCTAGATTGAATGAGCTCGATTAGTGGAGTAGTACACTACGGGCAAGCTTATGGTGCATCTTTTGTGGCATATGAATGTTATTTCTGAGAGTGATTGAATTCTTTCTATCTTGAGTTCCTAAGTGTTTTTAAATTTTATTGTGTGGAACTACTCTCTTTTGTTGTGTGAGGGCACTTGATTCATGAAGGAAAGGTAATGTCAGTGACCTCTATGTTAGAGTAAGTAGGTGAGTTGTGAATAATGCGTGGTACTTGTGAATCAAATCTTGAGGTGAAGATGTTACGCTTTTGTGCTTAGTCTATTTTAAATATTCTTGGTGTGATTTAGGAGAATTGTTTAGAAAGGTCGTGTCTATAACAAAGAGTAGTTTGATTGCTCGAGGACGAGCAATGGTTTAACTGTGAGTGGTTGATGATAGGCTATAACTACGTATTTTAGTCGATTATTAAACTCTAATTTACTGCACTTTAGTTGAGTTTGCGATTTAATCGCTAGTGTTTTGTACTAACTGTGTGTTTTATGCCTTGTAGGAGTGATTCCGAGCTATATAGATGTTATGGAATGAATTCAAGTGATTTGGAGCTTTGAAGTCTGAGTAAAAGCCCAAGGAATTAAGTCGGGATCGTATTCGGGGATCAACGGATGATAGAGCAACAAAACAAAGAACCGAGTAGGCATATTGCGCACTGTCTAGTAAAATAAACATAACTTTTTTCTCAGAACTCCATTTGGCTCCACAATCTATGGTTGGAAAGCTAACTCAAAGGGCTACAACTTTCATGTTTTATGTTTTCCCAAGTTCCAAATGGAAGGCATATTGCACACTGTCTAGTAAAATGCACATAACTTTTTGCTCAGAACTCCATTTGGGCTCCACAATCTATGGTTGGAAAGCTAACTCAAAGGGCTACAACTTTCATGTTTTATGTTTTTCCAAGTTCCAAATAGAACAGGGTGAAAAAGGCGGTCGAAACCGCGACCGCGGACATGAGGCAGGCTGAGGCAGTATACCTGCCATATACCGCGGTCGTACCGCGGTTTTACCGCGGCCGCGACGTCCAGACGTGAAAAAATTTTCCTTTTTCGCATAGGAGAAGGTATAATAGTTTGGGCCCGACCCTACTTGGTATATATACATGGAAAAATGGTATTTTTGAAGGTTGGACATATTTTTGACACAGATTCGACCTAAGGAGGCAGAGACACAATAGGAGCAAGGCGGGGAATTCTTCTACGAGTTTTTCCTTCCTCTTCCTATTTTTCATTATTGGTTATGACTTTTAGTATTGTAGTTTTACATACTATTATGAATAGCTAATTTGTTATCTAGGGTTTTGATGGAACCTTTTGTAGGATAAATTCTTGTTATGTTTTATATAATTGAGCCGTCGTATTTTCTTTATTTGTTCAACTATATTATTCTTGTGGTTGATTGAAGGGCCCTCAATTAGCTGTGCCTATTTAATATGTATTACTCGGGATAGAGTGCATATTTAGGTAGTTGTTGAACAACATCACTCCCGACGTATGTGAGGAATCAATAACCAAGGGTTTACAAGTGGGATTAGGGATAACGAAACCTTGGGTGCGATCTAAGTGAGCTGTAATTAAAGCCAGCTAGCGTAACTCGGGAGAGTATGTCTAGTAAATTGTCGTAATTACTCGGGAGAGAATTACAACACGCAGAGCGCTCATGATCGGTAGAGAATACTTAGGCGAAATTATAGAAGACATAGCGGGAAGGATTCCGACAATTGGGAATCATAACTCTAGACCTCCTTAATCTTTTCTCCAGCCTGTAGTATCTCGTTAATTTATTATTTTAATTTGTTAGTTAGTTAGTTAAACACAAGAATCTTAATATCTATAAGTTAGGAATTGTTCAAGCTTGTGTTCTTGGTGATAGTGAACAACTGTAGCTAAGCCTTAGTTCTCTGTGGGATTCGACTCCGGACTTTTAGACCGGATTATATTTGCAGCGACCGCTTATCCTTTTTAGGGCTAGAGTTGGGCGTGATCACTCTTACCCCTAGAAGTTACTTAGGAAGTGCTTATTTTGGAACTTGTAATTAGCCAAGAAATAAAAACATACAAAAGTACAATGAAAGATACTATGTGGGAGCTCACGTGTTAATTGTCCACTTGACTGTCCTCTTAATGTATTCTGTTCTTGGATTTCAACTTTCCAAATAAGGAACTCTTTCTCCATGCCCGGCAACTCCTAATTTCCATAGCAAATGTCCTTTATTTGTCTCCCTCTTCGTCTCTTTTCTAAATCTCCAGCACGGGCGGTCCTACTCGAACACAGGTACAGCAAAAACAACTACTTTAGGTCCCATATTTGTGGGGTCCTATTTTTTGTTACACCTAATATATTATATACTTCATATGTTTTAATTTTTATGAAGTTGTTTGACTTGTCACGAAATTTAAGAAGAAAAAAAAAGACTTTTAAAATTTGTGGTCTTAAAAGCTTAAGGGGTAAGAGGATTTGCAACTACTATGATTTCTGCCAAAGAAATTGCATCTGAAATGAAAATCAAACCCGAACTTCGTAAAAAACACGTGTGATATATAGAAAAAAATTGATGAGAGTATTGTTATTGAAATCTCAAAATCTCTCGAATAGTCCTTTAGAGTTAATTACTTTTTATGCATAGTAGACAAGACTATCTTTTTCACTTCAAAATAGATTTGAACAATTTGAAGTATATGAAATATGTTTTGTTTTCTATTTAACGTAAAAAGCTAAGATCACTAGACGATGAAAATTTAGAGAAATACTGCCTTAATCTTGAGTGTTCCTTGAAGCATATTAATCATTCTGATACTGATGGTTTAGATTTATTTTCCAAATTAAAAGTGTTAAGGGAAATAGTACAATTAGTAGATAACAGTTTAACTGATATACTCAATCAAATAAAAAGATTTGATTCTTTTCCAAATGTCTATATTGCTTATGGAATAATTTTATTGACTCCTGTTACCGTTACTTCAGCACAAAGAAGTTTTTTGAAATTAAAATTTATAAAATCTAACTAAGCTCAATAATGTATGAAGAGAGGTTAAATGAATTAACTATATTGTCGATTGAGAAAGAATTATTAGAAAAAAATTGATTATAAAAAATTTATTAATAACTTTGCATCTCAAAAAAATTAGAAAAATGGACTTCAAATAAAAACAATTAAAAAAATTAAGGCCCCTCGTAAAATTTGACTTTAGGCCACAAAATTCGTTAGGCCGCCCCTGGTCACCAACAACCAAAAGTAGACTGGAAGAAAAAGAGAAGGTAAGAGGACAAAAAGGCAAGAACAAAAGAATCACCCTAAAAAGATGTAAAAATTGCACGGGGCGCCCTATTTGGTCGCCCCCATTTAACCTATACCCATTCTTTTTTAAAGTTTTAACTTGTACTCACTTTTTAAACAACTACAGCCCCCTTTCTCCTCCTCCTTCTCCTCCTTCGTTTTCTTCTTCTTCTTCTTCTTCTTCTTCTTCTTCTTCTTCTTCTTCTTCTTCTTCTTTCTTCTGCTGCTGCTGGTGCTGCTATGAAACTTCAGTTCATGGGATGATTGCCATAAATATGTTTATCAGATTATTTAAAAATAAATTATAAATAATTACGTAAGTTAGTAGACAATAATTTGTGAATATTTCCATGTACGTAAGTTAGTAGACAATGATAATTCTGTTCTTTTCACGTTTATTATTTTCAAAATGTATGATTTAGATACTGTTGGCAATCTGATTATTTATCTAGTACTATATATGTTAGAAAGCCTTTTCAAAAACTTCAGCTTATATAGTACTGAAATTTTTACAAATGAACTAAATAACTTGAGCACCTTCTGCTGAAGTTTTTGAAAAAGCTTTATGACAAAACTAATGAATCCAGGACAAAAAAAACTTCAGCTTTTAGTGCTGAAGTTTTTACAAATGAACTAAATAACTTCAGCAGCTTTTGCTGAAGTTTTTGAAAAAGCTTATCCAGGACAAAAAAACTTCAGCTTATTTAGTGCTGAAGTTTTTATAAATGAACTAAATAACTTCCGCATCTTCTGCTAAAGTTTTTGAAAAAGCTTAATGACAAAACTAATTGTTGGATATAAGGTTTGGGTCGCCCATGTGGACTGACCCGACCCGTTTTAATAAGAGATAAAAAAGGGGATAAAACCTAAGGAGGTTACACGTAGGTTTTTACTCCCAAAAACTACCGCACGTTTTCTTTTGAGAAACGTGAGAACGTGGAGTAGTAGTTATCATCGGTAGTTCTCTCCATCTCCTCTTCTCTATATACTTCTCTTCAGTACAGAGATTTATAAGTGCAGAAAAATAAGAAAGGAAGAACACAGTGAACTTTAGGCATTTAGTTTGTGAACAAAAACTCTGTTTCCTGGAGATTCAAAATACGATTTGGGGCAATTCTTTTGGTGGTGAGTTCAACGGTTTCCGCTGCATCAATAAGGTATACAATTCGTTGTTCTCTCCCCTCGATTTAAACTAACAATGGTATCAGAGCCACCGTTGTTTCTCTGCTAAAGTACTGTTTGCAGCAACATATGTGAAAGATGATATGCTTATATCCTTCCTCTATAAACTTTAATGGATTTGCTGCCCAGTAATAATGTTTTGTAGTTTATTGATGTTTTATTTGACCGAGTGATATTTTTTTTAGTTTCAAACACTACTGCTTCAAAGTGTTTGCAAATTTCAATATTAGAGGCTTCTGTCTTTGATGATTGGTCGTAATTCAACAAAATAAAGATAAAATTAGAAGGGAAAAGGATGAGTAACGTTGCCGCTGGGTTTCCTGAAGATGTTGCGGCAACTTGTATGTTTTAAAGGTTAATTGAAGTCCTTTCTTCTATTGATTTGTGATTGGCTGGATTAACCATATAATGCCTACAATGTTGATACTATTAAGAGGTATTAGTAGTCGTACACGCGCGATGCGCGGTCAATATTAAAAAAGTATTTGTCACTTTGTTAATTTTTCGATGTTATATTTGGAATTATCACAATTATTTCATATCCTATTCTATATAAATAGAATAGATATTGTCTAAATTTTAATAAATAAAATCTCTATTAAATTAAAGGACTTATATAGTCATCAAATAATTTTTTTGTTATGTATTTTTATTTATTATATTATTCAATATTTAGTATAATTATATTGTTAATAGAAATTATGACACTTGTCATTATAACATTTCTTTTCCTCTCCTATTATATATATACATATATATATAGATTTCTTTGACTCTTCTATTATATATATTATATATTATATATTATACATATATTATATTATATTATATTATATATTATATATATAAATAGATTTTTTGTTTTTTTATTTTAAAATAATTTTAAAACTCCAATTTGAAACTACTCCCCAATTTGAATTAGTAAATCATTATTTTATTTAGTTTTGGTTTTATTTTAAAATTATTTTAAAACTCCAACTTGAAACTATTTCCCGATTTGAATGGGTAGTTTTTCTTCTCTTTTATCGTTTTTTTATTGGTAATTTTTTTCTTGCTTTTTATTTTAAAATAGTTTAAAAACTCAAACTTGAAACTACTCCCACCCAATTTGAATGGGTAGTTATTTTATATATATTTATTTTTCATTGTTTTTATATCATATTTAATTATATGATATCTATATTTATTAATTCAAATAAAGTACTCAATTACTATATATATATATGTTATTTTTTTATTTTATTTTTTTATTTTCGTTTTTTATATGTATATTATATATAAATAGATTTTTCGTTTTTTTATTTCAAAATAATCTTAAAACTCCAATTTGAAACTACTCCCAATTTGAATTGGTAATTCATTATTTTTTTTAATTTCGTTATTTATTTTAAAACTCCAACTTGAAAATACTTCCCGATTTGAATGGGTAGTTTTTCTTCTCTTTTTTCGTTTTTTTATTGGTAATTTTTTTTTTGCTTTTTATTATAAAATAATTTAAAAACTCAAACTTGAAACTACTCCCACCCAATTTGAATGGGTAGTTATTTTTTATATATTTATTTTNCTCTATATATTTCTCTTCAGTACAGAGATTCTAGAGGTGCAAAAATTAAAAAGGAAGAACACAGTGAACTTTAGGCATTTAGTTTGTGAACAAAAACTCTGTTTCCTGGAGATTCAGAATACAATTTGGGGCAATTCTTTTGGTGTTGAGTTCAACGGTTTCCGCTGCATCAATAAGGTACACAATTCGTTGTTCTCTCCCCTCGGTTTAGTCTAACAATGGTATCAGAGCGTATGATTTATTTGATTCCTAGGCTGTGACCGAAAAGATTGGATGAATAAATTTACATAGAACAAGTGTTGCGGTGATAGGTGATCAAATTTTTTGAGAAAATGATGGCACTTACGGTCCTAATTATGAGATTCGTTTTGCGGTGATATTTGTTTATGATATTCTGAGTATTGTTTATTCTCTGAAACACCCAATTTTTTTTTTTTTAAAATAGACGTGTGCTTTGGTGGTGTTACCAACTGTGACTGGAGAGGTTAGTATTGTCGTACTTCTTACTTTTTTTTTTCTGCACTTGCTTATACCGTAAGTAATAATCTGATAAAAAGATCCCGAGTTTCATGCAACTTTTCATTAGAATTTCGAATCAGTGGCTATTGAAGCCTCGCTCCCTATAAAGCCTTGAAAGTTGTATATTGCACACTTCTACTTGATCACTTAATAACAATGGTGTTTGTTAATTTGGTTTCAATTTGAATTAAACAAATAGTACATAAAGCTTGAATTTTTTTTATTTTTTGTCTTCTGAATGCTAAGAAAATGATCTATAAGAAATATCAGTATGGATGTTTCGTTTAAAGGCAATAACCCTCAAATATTGTATAAAATGGTACTGGCTCTTCCTTTTTTTTTAAAAAAAAAAAAATCAATGATGTTTCTCTTTTGAGTTCCAGTGATTAAGCTATATATATAATTGAAGTTGATTAGCTTAAACAATGGAACGCCCTATATTCTGAGAAAGACATTGTCTGTTTCAGTAAATGGAAAATTAGTGTAGTCATAATCCTTCGATAGATATCCTTCTACAAGTAATTGTGATATATGTTGTCACATTGAGTGGTTGTAGCCATTCTTATTATTTCCTTGGTCCTATTTCAGATATGGCTGAACAGGGACAAGTTCGAATCACTCCAAGTGGGAGTTCTCGAAGACAAGGAAGGGGACAATGTAGAAGGGTACGTCGTCGCAGGACTTATTTCTATAATGATTCAGACTTGGAGCCTGAAGTCATCAGGAATATTCCAAGGGCGAGACAAAATGAGTTAAGGGATCGAAGGGCTGAACGAAGGGAAAGAGAAAAGAAATTTAGGGAGTTTAAGGAATTTAAGATGGGCCCTGATGTTTCCGTTCCTGAACATGTACACCTTTTTAAGATAAAAAGAGTTGAATTGGCTAATTACGTAGAAATTACTGATTGGGAAGCATTACCTATTTTAGCGGACTCTCTTCGAGAGCCTTGGGGTGAAATTTTAACTGAGATTTATCATGATGTTTGGCCTAGTGCACCTTTTAACGTATATGAGCAACAGTTAGTGTTCGATTGGTATATGGATGTCCTAGCAAATATGTAAATTGTTATTATGTATTTTATTTTAATGAAATTTATATGATATTTTTTTTGTCTCACTAGTTACATACATTGTTTATTATATCCTTTTGTAATGGATTGAGACTTAAAATATGTACACACTAAGAAGTGATCTTAATATTAATTAAAAATATTTAGATATAGATGATGAATGGAAACGTAGTGACCGTTCGATTCTATACTAAATGTAGAATTAATATTATAAATAATTTTTCTTGAGTGTGTAGTCGCATGCATAAATTAACTGAAGTATATATTGATGAGTTAAACTGGTAATATTGTCTCTAATAACAGACATGGCATCAAAAAGTATCATTGCTGACTTGAACAAGGGTGACAAACTGAATGGTGAAAATTACGATATCTGGAGTCGTAAGATGTAGTATGTACTCGAAGAGCAAGATGCTCTTAAAAGTATTAACCATGTTATGAGTCACCCAGAGGAGGGTAACACTGCCCAACACAGGAGGGATCTGGAAACTTACAATGTTTGGAAAAAGAAAGATTTCACTGCACGTGGAATTATTGTAAGTTCAGTTGCTGATGATCTCATCCACGAATGTGAGCAATATCCTACTGCTCAAGCCATGTGGGCGCATTTAAGAGAGGCATATGGGGGTACGACTGTGACTCGCCTTCGACAGGTGACAATCAAGTTTGACACGTACAAAAAACGTTATGATCACGGTGTCAAGCAACATCTAAGGGTGATGTCAAATATGATTGCTCAACTCAAAAGTGCTGGTCATGTTCTCTCTAATGAGCAGCAGGTTCAGGCTGTGATTCGGTCTCTTCCCAATAATTGGGAACATTTGAAGGTTAACTTGACCCACAATGATAGCATCAAAACTTTTGCTGATGTTGCCCGTCATGTGGAGCTTGAAGATGAGCGGCTTGGTGCTGCTAAAGCTGTACCTAATGCCTTTGTGGCAGAATCAAGTGGTACAAAGAGATCAAGCTTCAAGCGCAAGAGAAACTGGAAAAATGACGGAAAGGGTAAGGAGACCGGAGAAGGACCCTCCAAGAAAAGAAACAAGCCAAATTCCAAGAAAGGAAATTCTACAAGAAGAAAGACAAGAGCAAGATGAAGTGTTACAATTGCCAAGTCCAAGGGCATTTTTCTCGTGAGTGCACTGAGCCGAAAAAGGTAGCATTTCAAAACACATCTCTTAGTGCTATATATGTTTCTAGCACTGTTTTACTAACTCAATCTTATCCTGTGTGGATTTTAGACTCAGGGGACACCGACCATGTGAGCCATGATAGAGAAGCATTTATAGAGTTTCGTCGAGTTTCACCTGGATCAAAGCATGTATATGTGGTAAAAAATGCTAAGCTTGAAGTCAAAGGGATAGGCACTTGCAGAACGGACATACATGGTGGCCGATCTTTGATGTTGCATGACGTCCTATAAGTTTCAGAGATTCGACGAAACTTAGTATCTGTGTCTGTTCTTCTAGATTTAGATTTCAATTTGAACTTTAGTCGCAGTGGTCTTAGAATTACTCAAGACAATGTTTTTTATGGATATGGACATCATTATGATGGTTTTATTATGTTAGATTGTAATCCTTCTACGTATAACATTATGTTGACCGTTGTGTTATGGCATGTTATTCTAGTAACAATGATGTTGATGGTTTTATTGTGTCCTAATTGACGAGACACGACGCGGCGTCAACGAGAGGCTAGAGGTTTGGAGACATGCCCTTGAGTCTAAAGGTTTCAGGTTGAGCAGGACGAAGACGGAATACCTCGAGTGCAAATTTGGGGCCGAGCCGACGGAAGCGGGAGTGGAAGTGAGGCTTGACTCTCAAGTCATCCCTAAGAGGGGCAGTTTCAAGTACCTTAGGTCAGTTATTCAGGGGATCTGGGAGATCGAAGAGGATGTCACACACCGTATAGGGGTGGGGTGGATGAAGTGGAGGTTAGCGAGGGGAGTCCTGTGTGACAAAAAAGTGCCACCATTACTAAAAGGTAAGTTTTATAGAGCAGTGGTTAGGCCTGCCATGTTGTATGGGATCGAGTGTTGGCCGGTTAAGAACTCACGCATCCAGAAGATGAAAGTAGCAGAGATGAGGATGTTGAGGTGGATGTGCGGGCATACAAGGATGGGTAAGATTAGGAATGGAGATATTCGAGAGAAGGTGGGCGTGGCCCCCATGGAGGACAAGATGCGGGAAGCAAGACTCAGATGGTTCGGGCACATTCAGAGGAGGAGCACTGATGCACCAGTGAGAAGGTGTGAGCGACTGGCTGTGGTGGGCACGAGGAGAGGTAGAGGGAGACCTAAGAAGTATTGGGGAGAGGTGATCAGGCAGGACATGGCGCGACTTAGGATTACTGAGGACATGGCCCTTGATAGGGAATTGTGGAGGTCAAGCATTAAGGTTATAGGTTAGGGGGAAGTTGTGGATATTTCTACAGCACACTAGAGAGAGACTAGCCAGTTAGGAGTTAGTCTTAGGATGCTACTGATCAGCTACTGATGCAGGGCTTATCTGTTGGATATTAGTATATCTTCCATCTTTTTAGTATTTTGTTTTTCGCATTTCCTATATTTTTGCTGTTATTTTGTTATTTTATGTCATGTTATGTATTTTATGTTATTTTAGTATGAGTTTATTGATAGTACTAATATATCGTCTCTTGTTGCTTTCTTGAGCCGAGGGTCTCCTGGAAACAGCCTCCCTGCCCCTCGGGGTAGGGGTAAGGTCTGCGTACATATTACCCTCCCCAAACCCCACTTATGGGATTATACTGGGTTGTTATTGTTGTTGTAATGATGTTGATGTTATTACATAGCATGCAAGATTAGGTCACATAGGACAGGATCGAATGAATAGATTGGCTAAGGAAGGACATCTAGGTCCTTTCTCTAAAATTGAAATGCCAACTTGTGAAAATTGTCTTGCTAGAAAGATTACACGTAAACCATTTGGAAAGGCTAAGAGAGCTGATTTTCCATTGCAATTAGTCCATTCTGATATATGTGGTCCAATGAATGTGAGGGCTAGGTCTGGTGCTTTATATTTTATTATGTTCATTGATGATTTCACACGATGTGGTTATGTCTATCTGATCTCTCATAAATCTGAAGCACTTGAATGCTTTAAGAAATATATGAATGAAGTTGTGAATCAATTAGACAAAAGGATTAAGACCATAAGAACCGATAGAGGACGTGAATATCTTTCAAAAGAATTTGAAGGATTGTGCAATGAAAAGGGAATCACCAGACAGTTAACTATTCCATACACACCTCAACAAAATGTTGTAGCAGAAAGGAGGAATAGAACACTACTGCATGATAAGGTCCATGATGGCGCAGGCAAATTTACCTATCTACTTTTGGGGAGATGCGTTAGTGACTGCAACTTATATATTGAACAAAGTGCCTTCTAAATCAGTTTCTTCCACTCCTTATGAGCTATGGACTGGTCATAAACCAAACTTAAAGGATTTACGACCTTGGGGTTGTGTTGCATACGTAAAAGATTCTTTTAGCAAGTTTGGTAAATTAGGTCCAAAAGGCAAGAAATGTATCTTTATAAGATATTCAGAACACTCCAAAGGGTATGTGTTCATTGGTGAATTAGAGGATGGAATTGTTACTGAGATTGAATCGCGAGATGTCACATTTTTGGAAAATGATTTTCCAAAGAAGGGCGAGGTAAAAAATGGAGAGCCTCTTTATGAAATATTGAACTCAGATAGTCAGCAAGTGTCTTCTGACACAGTTTATAATCAAATTGATCAAGATCTTATTCTTGATCCAAGTGGGAGTGGGAGTGGAACTCCCAATCCCAAAATCCTTCTAACGAACCTGAATTTCAACTACGAAAGAGTGCCAGGAAAAATATACCCAAACGTACTTATGAAATTGAAGATTATATTTTCTTGGTATCTCCCACAGGAATGGAATGAGCCAAAGTCTGTGACTGATGCTGTATCGAGCCCTGGAAAAGATGAGTGGATAAAAGCAAAGAAAGAAGAATTAGAGTCCATGAAAACCAACAAAGTCTGGGATCTAGTTGATCTTCCGCCTAGGCGTAAAGCCATTGGGAACAAATGGGTTCTCAAAGTTAAACACAAAGCGGACGGGTCAATAGAAAGATACAAGGCACGATTGGTGGCAAAAGGCTTTACTCAAAAAGCTGGAATAGATTATGAGGAAACATTTTCACTAGTTGTGAAGTTTACCTCAATTCGCTTACTTTTTGCTATTGTTGCACGTTTGGATTTGGAATTACATCAAATGGACGTGAAGACAGTTTTTCTCAATGGAGAACTGAATGAAGAAATCTACATGGAACAGCCTGTAGGCTTCATCGTTAAAGGCCAAGAAAAGAAGGTCTGTAAATTGAAGAGATCTATTTATGGTCTGAAGCAATCTTCAAGGCAATGGTATTTGAGATTTCACAAGGAAATGATCCTCATATGATTTCAACATGATCGATGAAGACCATTGCATTTATGTGAAGAAGTCTAATAGGATGTTTGTAAAACTTTCTCTTTATGTGGACGATATTTTATTAGCCGGAAACAATTTGGAGTACTTGAAAACTATCAAGTCATGGCTTTCAAAGTCATTTGACATGAAAGATATAGGCGAGGCAGACTATATCCTTGGAGTTCAGATCCAAAGAGACCGTCCCAAAAAGTTATTGAGTCTATCTCAAGAAACTTATATAAAGAAAATTTTGGAACGTTTTCGCATGAATGCTTGCAAATCCATGGTACTCCTATAGCGAGAGGTGAAACTTTAAGCCTTAAAATGCGTCCCAGGACTGAAAATGAAAAGGAAGACATGTCTCGAGTTCCATATTCAAGTGCTGTCGGGAGCTTGATGTACGCTATGATGTGTACTCGCCCAGACATTTATTATGCCGTAGGTCTGGTTAGCAGGTATCAATCCAATCCTGGTAGAGATCATTGGAAAGCTATGAAGAGAATTTTCAGATACATGAAGGGAACTACAGA